TATGTGTGTGTGTGTGTGTGTGTGAGAGAGAGAGAGAGAGAGAGAGAGAGAGAGAGAGACAGAGAGAGAGAGAGAGAGAGAGAGAGAGAGAGAGAGAGGTGCAGCCGAAGAGGTGGTGAATATGTGAATATGTGCGATTTGAGAGGAGGAGGGCTGCCGCAAGCAATGGATCGTGCAACGACGGTTGGAAAAGGGAATTTCGAGACGAAAATTGAAAAAAGGGGTTAAAATTCGAGAAGAATTTAATAGGGAAAAAAAGGAAAAAAGGGGAAATGTCGGCGACTGCTGCCTTTTAAGTTGACGTTTTTCCCTTTAATTTTTCTTTAAAATTCTTGTAATTGAAATGCACCTTGAAAGGGGTAGCCCCACAGAAGGACGGTGAGTTAAAAACCGGAAAAAAACATTATCGCACGGAATGGCTCGCAGATCAAATTTTCTCTTTATTTACTAATTTATTAATTTATTTAATATTTTAAAGATAGGTTCTTATCCCTATTCTGACCTCGACCCGTGCGATCGGCCTAGGGCATACTCACACTAACTCTTTTTCTCTTATTTCTGGTCGAAATTGCGGCCAGATGCATACAACCCCGACCGTAATTGCCGTCTGAATACATTTCGGATAGTGCCCGTGTGAGTGCATGCCCTTACCCTTACCCTAGTCGCTGCAGTTTACTTCCAAAGCGGTTCCTCATATTTACACTCATAATTTATGTATATGTATTTATATAGATAGATGTATATATACATCTATATAACATATATAATCATTTGTCCGTATTCTATGTTTATACATCTATATAATATCTACAGATATATATATACAGCCTCCTGATGAGTCGGTGAAACTCCGACGAAACAGTTTGTCACAGCCCCTCGTTTGTTGTCCTCTTCTCCCTCCCTGCCTACGGTTTACCGGGCAGTTCTATTTGACGATATATACATATACTGCCGACGTTGCTAGCTCTCTACTTTTGTAGATGATGCGGCTAGCGTCGGGCCTGTACTAGCAGGCTCTTCTTTGGCTATGGTAGAAAATAATTCTTGTCCTATTGTCCCATATCTTTTCCTATTGCCTTTCCCCCTTTGTTTAGGGGTATTTTGTTTTGCGGACCTACTGTATGGTTCCGTTTTTTTAACTATGGTTGTGGTAGAATGTTTTTTTTGAATGAGAATCTTGTCTGCTTCAATGTTTTTTTTGAATGAGAATCTTGTCTGCTTCGAGTCCGGTTGATTCTGTCCCCTTAATTGGTCTATCTTAGGGAGGAGGGATGGTGGTGCTTCATGTGGGATTGGTTATCGGGTTATCGTTTTGCAGGCAAGTGTTCTGACATCCTGGTTGGCTTGGTTGTTTCCCGTTGTTTGGCCCTTTGAGCGCGGGGCGGTGCTGTATGTGGGAATCGTCATCCGGGATTGTCTTCTCCTTCTTTTTGGTTGTCACATTGTGGATTGGAGCCTTTTTTTTTGTTTTGTTGATTTTGTCTGTACCTCGGTTGGTTTGGTCCCGTTGTTCGGGCTATCTTATGGGCGTGGCTGTGCTTTCACGTGGGACCAGCCATTCGGGTTTTTGGCATCCTGGTTGGTTGTTTCCCATTGTTCGGCCCTTTGAGAGGCGGGGCGGTGCCTGTATGTGGGAATCCTCATCCGGGATTGTCTTCTCTTTTTTTCTTGGTTGTCACACTGTGGATCGTCGCTGTTTTGTGTCTTGTCCTGGGTGGTCTTGTCCCGTTGTTTGGCCGTTGACGGAGCGGGCGGTGATTGCATGTGGGACTTGTCATCTGGGATCTGTCTTGTTTCCCTCTGTTCTATTCATTTCATTTGGCTGTTCCCTTCCTCTCTTCTTTGCCTCTTTGCCTTTTGGCTGTGTGCAAGTGGGTCGATATGACACACGGGGGTGGGGGCAGCCGCCGCTCAACCTACATCCACGTGGGCGGCCTTGTAAGCAAGAGGTTCTGAACAGGGGGAGTTGTAAGGAAGAAGATTAAAAACGAATTTAAGATTTTTTTGTTTTTTTGGTTTTTTCGCTTAGGCGCTCTGGTATTATGTGACAATATATAAGCGGGCAGTGCTTTTATGTGGGAATCGTCATTATGTTTTTTTTTTTTTTTTTTTTTTTTAACATTTCATGTTTTTTTGACGTTGGTGGTGGTCCCAGCATTTCGGTTTAGACCAGCGAAGCATACGGCGGAAGCATATAGATAGGGTGTCGACGGTGGGCGAGCACGAATAGTTTGTTATCTGGGATTGCTTTCTTTCGCAGGCAAGGGTGTCACAGTGTTGATTGATATCCCGGTGGGTCTTGTCCCATCGTTTGGCCTGTGTGACAGAGGGGGCGGTGCTTGCATGTGGGACTTGGCATCGAGGATTACATTTTGTTTATGTTTGTTTTCCCCTGTTTTGTTATAATATTATTCGGCTGCTCCCTTCCTCTTTCTTTGACTCTTTGCCTTTAGGCTGTGTGCAAGTGGGTCGATATGACACACGGGGGTGGGGACATCCGCCGCTCAACCTACATTCACGTGGGCGGCCTTGTACGCAAGAGGTTTCGAAAAGGGGGAGTTGTAAGGAAGAAGATATTAAAAAACGAATTGATTTTTTTTCCCTTGTTTTCCTTGTGTCTTTTTCGCCTTTGCGCTCTGCTATTTTTGTGACGATGTATCTTGACGAGTCGGTGAAACTCCTGTCACAGCCCCCTCTCTGCCTACGATTTACATGCAAGCTCTGCTCCACGATACATAATATTTTATATATATCGTCACAAACATAACTGACCGGTAAACCGTAGGCAGAGAGAGAGAAGAGGACAACAAACGAGGGGCTGTGACAAACTGTTTTGTGGGAGTTTCACCGACTCATCAGGAGGCTGTATATATATATATATATATCGTCACAAACATATATATATATCAAACAGAGCTGGCCGGTAAACCTTAGGCAGAGAGGGAGAAGAAGATTTCAACAAACAAGGGGCTGTGACAAACTGTTTCGTCGGAGTTTCACCCACTCATCAGGAGGTTGAACCCTAGTATGTATACATATGTATATACATATGTATATATATATATATATATATATATATATATATTTCTATTTGACGATATATATATATGCCGTCCTGGTTCCTGCTGTGACGAAGTTGCTTACCTGAATGGTTTTCGTCCTATAGATCAGCGGGAGGGCTGCTACCATCGCCCGCATCCTTATGATAGTTGTCCTATCTGTCGTGA